GCTATAATATAATATATCGTAGAAAAATTAGGATAATAGGTTAAGAATAAGCGAAAGTAAATAATTAATACCTATAACTTATACGAGAAGGAATACGCCTTATATTATATTGGGTTATAAGATAAAAAAGGCTTTATAAATGCAAGTGGGTTTTTCTTCTCTTAAGTGTTTTCCTACTTAAAATACAGGTTAATATACTAGAATAGCTTTAAAAGAGCTTTAGCGTACTTAATATAATAGCTTATACTAAGAATTTTTACGTAAGGTTTTTCCTATTATAAAGTAAGCTAAAATTATTTAAAGGGGAAACTCTTTTTAGGTTATACTAATCTTATTTATAAATAAGCTAAGCTTAAAGAAATTCTAGGTAATATATAATTATTATAATATTAATAGTAAAACTATTAAACCTAAATATTCTTATTATAATATAAAAGTAAATTTAAACTTAATATATTATAAACGCTTTATTATTTTCTCTTAAGCTAATACCTTAAATAGGTTTTAAGCTATTAAGATTAACCTAATAAATAAATATAAGATAGCTTTTATTAGGTTAAATAAAATGTTTTAATATAATAATATACCTTAAAGCTTAATAAAATTACTAGCTATTTACGTTAAATTTAAGGATATAACGTTTAAACACTTATTCTTTAAAGATAAAACGAAATTAAAGTTAATTTTAAGGTATATAAAAGATATTTACACTTTATTTTTTATTTACGTTAATAATTATCACTTAAAATTAGAAACGTAAGAAAACTACTTTAACTTTCTATAAAAGAGGTATTTTTTAAGAGTAATATAAGCTTTTATTAAGCTTAATAAATGTAAAATAAAGCTTTTCGCCTTAAGCGTAAATTATATAAGTTATTTCTTAAAGAAAAAAAGGATTTAATTAACACGTAAATATAGGAATTAATTTACCTTAATAATAAAATATTTTTAATAAAAACTATTATAATTATAAAATAAAATTTTAATACTTATTTACTTAACTTTATTTTTAAGAAAGTTTATTTTAAGCTAAGTTAATTTAATTTTTACTATTAAAGAAGTGTTTTTTTATAAAGTTTTAAAAACTATAAAGATAAAAAGAGAATTAATATAATACTAAAAGGTTTCTAAAGATAACCTAACTTAAATATTAAAGGCTTAAAACGCGCTTTTAAAAATTTACGATAATATTTAAATAAATGTAATATTTAAAGCGTATTTAGGGTTTTAATTTTATATAATAATAAACGCCTTAAATATAAGTATAAGAGAAGTCTTATTTTAAATAGAGAATACTAAACCTAACACTCTAGTATTAAATAATAACTACTTAAAGGTTAAAATTATTATATAGCTTTCTTATAAGCTAATAAATACGAAAAAAAGATATACTATATTTAAGAAGAAGATATATGTAATTATAATAGAATTAAAGGAAATACGATAGCTAATAAAGGGTTTACTATTCCCTTTAAAGGCATATA